TAATAATAATAATAATAATAATAAGTATGAAATTTAACTAATTAAGATTTTTAAACTTTTCTTTATTTAAAATTTAATTATTAAAAAGTCATTAATACAAATATTAAATTAATCTAATATTGTACAATAAAAATAATTAAAACATGTGATGATTGGGTCATGACGAGTACAAGTAATAGTAATTGTGGATAATGATTTATAATAGTGTTGGCTAACTATATAGTCATGAATACTAACTATTAATAGTAATCCGAGTTATATATTGCCGAAAAATTATACTAAGAATATAATTTATAAAATCACAAATAAGCATAAAAGAACGATTAGATGTAAGTTTACATAAATATATATAAATTATGCTAAAAAAATCTCAAATAAAAAAGAAAAAAATGATCACAAGTTTACATTTAAGTAGTTCTAATATCACCCAAATCTTATTACCTTCCCTTTTTCTCTATAAAATTTATTTTTAATATTTAACTTTTCGAAGTTCACATATATTGAGTTCTTAATAAATTTCATATTTAATCTAAATATTTTTCATAGTTTCTCTTCTATAAAATTATGTGATTAAAAAAAATTCTTTTTATTAAAATAATTATTGATATTAGTATGTAATTTTATTTTAATCATTTTCATAACCGCGCGAAGCGCGGCTAAATACACTAGTTATAGAATAATTAATGATTAGACAATATTTGAAGAAAAACCCATTAAATCTCTATGAATCTAGGACTGTTTGGTGTGAAAGATAATTCCAAATAGTCCTGAAATTAAATTTATCACTTAATTTGTTGTTTAGTTGGCAAGTTCTGGATAACTTATTTCGGGATTAATGATTGGTACCGGGGTAAGTTATCTCTCCATTTGAGTGATATAGTAATCTTGTGATAACTTATCCCTGGATAAAATAAATAAATGACAAGAATGTCTCTTTCAACCCTTTTGTTACATCACCTTTTATATTCATGAAGGGTATTTTTATAACGAATAAATTGTTCTTAAAATTTATTATTTTAAACACAATAAATCGAACATTTAATAAAAATAGTCAATTATAACTAATCTCATCATAATTTATCCCATAATAACATTTACTTTCTTTGTCTCATTTATGTGACACTAATTTTTTAGTCTCTCTAAAAAAAATATCATATTACTATAATTACAAATAATAATTCTTTTTTAATTGTTGATGAAATAATTTATATTTATGACCAAGCAAAAATCAAAAAATTATTTTAGATAATTAATTTGAAATAATTTTTTTTAAAAAAAAGTTTTGCTATTAGTTGATCTCTCTGTTTCAAAAAGGATGTCTAGTTTGACTTGGAACGGAGTTTAAGAAAAAAAATTATATTTTTTAATCTTGTGATTTTAAATTAAAGTTATGTCAAATATATTAAAATATTCTTTAATCTTGTGGTCTTAAAAATGAGACATAGAAAATTAAAGTTAAAGCGTTATTAAAAAAAAAATGCGACATTCTTTTTAAAATAATGTAAAAAAGAAATATAACATTCTTTTTTTAAACGGAAATAATAAATGGTATCGCATAGGAGTCATGGACTGATTTGTATTTCGAATGAATATCAATGGATTCTATAAAAAATTTGTCTTTGTTGAAATCATCTTTAACCTCATTGAAACGAGGGAAACTGTTGCACCAGAAGATTGTTACTTTAGGGTTACAAAGCAACATTAACTTATCCAAGAATCTAATTAATTTATACATATCTTGCGAAGAAATCCATTCCGCTGAATTGGTTTTTCAAAATCTTGAAAAACCTCTTGATATCACTTTGTGGAATGGTCTCATTGCTTCTTACACTAAGAACCAATTGTTCAATGAAGCTCTTGACCTCTTTGACAAGCTGTTGCAATTCCCATATCTTAAACCTGATAGTTACACCTTTCCTAGTGTACTCAAGGCTTGCAGTGGTTTAGGAAATCTCCGATATGTTCAAATGATACATGCTCATTTGATTAAAACTGGGCTTTTATTAGATGTTGTTGTGACAAGTTCAGCGATTGGTTTGTATGCCAAATGTGACTTGTTCGCTTCTGCTATACAACTGTTTGATGAAATGCCTGAAAGAGAAATTGCGTGTTGGAATACTGTCATTTCGTGCTACTATCAAAATGGGCAATTTCATAAAGCCCTTCAATTCTTTGACAAAATGAAAGATTTGAGATATATGCCTAATTCGGTTACCTACACAGCTGCAATCTCATCATGTGCGAGGCTTTTAGACATTGAAAGAGGGGAGACAATTCATCGCGAATTAGTAGATAATAAATTTCTGTTGGATGGTTTTGTAAGTGCTGCTCTTGTTGACATGTATGGGAAATGTGGCCTCTTAGAGAAGGCTAAAGAGATTTTTGAGCAAATCCCTGCCAAGAGTTTGGTTTCTTGGAATTCCATGATATCTGGTTACAGCTTGAGAGGCGATAGCAAATCATGCATTCAGCTTTTACAAAGGATGAGCAAAGAAAACATGAAACCCTCTTCTGTGACTTTAAGTAGCTTACTAATGGCGTGCTCTAAATCTACTGAACTGCAGCACGGGAAGTTTTTTCATGCATATATAATTCGAAATAACATAAGATCTGATGTCTTTCTTAGTGCTTCACTTGTTGACTTATATTTCAAATGTGGTAGAGTTGAGACTGCATGAAACATCTTCAGTATGATGGCAAAGAACAATGTGGAAGCATGGAATGTAATGATTTCTGGACATGTGTCAGCTGGCTACTACTTGGAGGCACTTGCCATTTATAATGACATGAAGTTGGCAGGGATAAAGCCTGATGCAATCACTTTGACTAGTGCCTTGGTATCTTGTTCACAGTTGGGTGCCTTAGAACATGGCAAGGAGATTCACAAGTGTATCATTGATTGTAAGTTGGAATCCAATGAAATTGTTATGGGGTCGCTGCTTGATATGTATGCTAAATGTGGTGCAGTAAGTGAAGCTATTGAAGTCTTTGATGAGTTGCCTGAGAGAGATCTGGTATCATGGACTACAATGATTGCAGCATATGGATCTCATGGTCAAGCTTTTGAAGCGCTAAAACTCTTTAATGGAATGCTGCATTCTAATGTAAAACCTGATAGAGTTGCATTTCTTGCAGTAATTTCTGCATGTGCTCATGCAGGATTAGTGGATGAAGGTTACCAGTATTTTAATTTAATGGTCAGTGGCGATGGCATTCAACCGTCAGCTGAAGAGTACTCATGTCTAATTGACCTTCTTGGACGTGCTGGAAGATTGCGTGAAGCCTATGCGATTCTGCAGAGCAACTCGGACACCAGGGAGGATGTTGAGTTGTTAAGCGCATTAGTTTCTGCATGCCATTTGCATGGGGAGTTGGAGATTGGAGAAGAAATTGCAAAGATGCTTACTCAAAAGAATATTGATGATCCATCCACTTATGTTGTTTTAGACAAAATATATGCTTCACAGAACAAATGGAATGAGGTACGCAAGTTTAGACTGAAGATGAAGGAGCTTGGGTTGAGGAAGAAACCTGGATGTAGTTGGATTGAAGTAGACAAGAGGATTCAAACATTCCTGGCAGATGATAAATATTTCCTGCTAGTAGACGATGTTTATCAATGTCTATCTTTAATAAATAGTGACATGGAAACCTGTGAATGCTTAAGCATTGATAGCAAGGGAGATGATTACTACTCAAAGCCAACTACTTGACCAAATCAATCACCTTGCTCATAGACATAACTTTGTTTTTCCATAAAACGACAATCATATTTCTGCCTCTCACTGACAAAATGATCAGGATGACCATTTTGAGTCTCTTATGGAGCTTCACCTCATAGTGGATAAGAGCAAGATCCTTCACATTCAAATTGACAGTTTTGAAATATTTAAGGAAAGACTTTATTTTTGTAGCTTTATGTGTACGTTCGTAAGAATGCTGTGTTGATATTGTTACCATCCTATAATTGCATAGGTTGGACTCGTGAGAGACATCACTTCCACATGAGTGGACAGGTTTGTTCTCCCTTTCCTACTTCGTTTATTAGCCTTGTGGCAAAATGATATAATTAACACAATTTGATGTAGGTCATGAAGAGTATGCATGACTTGAGAAATTTTGAGAATCGAAAAGGATAATAAAACTGTCTAAGCTAGGGTTGTATTTGATATATCTTCAACAGAATGTTTAGTTTTGCTAAGAAGTGAAAAATAGTTGTCTTAGTAAGTTGAAAATTTCAGCATTATGTACTATATGTTTGGCATTCTTTATCTCAGTTAGGATGTCTTGCTCGCAAGGTTCAGTTCTTAGAGTTGAGTTTGGAATGATGCTATTAACAGCCGGATATGTGTCAGCTTCTACATGGAGGCTCTTGATGCATACTACCATGAAGGTGGCTGGGGTAAAACAATGTGCAAGTGTCTTGAGATCTTATTCACAGTTGGCACCTAAAAACTGTACTAGGACATCCACAAGTTTATATGGACATTAAGTTGGAATATTGCCTATACTTTGGTGAAATAAAATTCAGAGTTTATAAAATTGTTGAGGGGGTACTGCATATATCTATGCCATATGTGGTGCTGTATACAAAAAAAAAATCTCATTCAGAGATTTCTGTTGAAATTTGTATCTTGAAGCGCGGGCAGGTGAACGATATGTTAAAGAGTAAGGAGAAGTAGGAAGGAAGTGTAGACTAAGCATCTGTGATATCGGAAACATCAAGAGGCTCCCCGGTTCTCAGTCAGCCTTTCTTCACAACCTTTTGATGTATTATATGGATGAAGATGGACTAAAACTCATGGCATATGGATCTCATCGTAAATTTCTTTAATGAAATGCTGCTAAGTGTTATCTAATGTAATTATCTGTACGTCACTCTGGTTGTTAATATTTTAATTTAATTAATGTGAAGTCTATAGATCAGTAAGAAAATATTAATTTGTTAACAAAATTATTTCCTGTGTATCATTTGCAAAAGAAACTAAAGGTGGGAGAAAATGTGTTTTAAGTGACACCACTAGAGATGGAGAAAATGTGTTTGGTATGAAAGGAAAATGTTTTCTAGTTCTTAGTTCATTGGTCAGCTGCTGAGTTCAATCGTCAAAATCAAATAACTTAGGTTGTGTTTGGTACGAAGGAAAATGTTTTCCTAGAAAATATTTTTTTGGAAAATAAGTACATTTTTGATTTATTTTCACATGATTCGTGGTTAGTGCAAAAAAAATTCGGAATTATTTTAGTGTGATTTATGAACGAAAAATATTTGTGAGAAATATCTTTTATTATTGTTAGAGTAGAAAATAATTTTTAAATTCAAAAATATTTTTTAGAAACAAATTTAAATTTTTTTGGGGGGTCGAGGGTAGAGCTAAAAAAAATAAAAATTTAAAGTTGAAAAGTTTCTTAAAAACCAACTTAAATCTTTTTTTGGGGTGGAGGGGTAGGTGTGGGGGGTGGGTAGGGGGGTCAAGTGTTTGGGTGAAAAAAAAAATGAAATTTTAAAGTTGAAAATATTTTTTGAAAAACAAATTTAAAATTCTCTTTGGGGGTGAGGGTACGGATGAAAAAAATGAAATTTTAAAGTTGAAAACATTTTTTAGAAATGAACTCAGGTAAGGGTGGACGGAGTGGCGAGGGTTAGGGTGAAAAATAAAAATTCGAAGTAGAAAATATTTAAAAAAAATATACTTCAATTTTTTCACTACAAGAAAATTAATTTTAACATAAGGAAATTGATTCGTTAAAAGTCTATAACGACCGGGTAAAAGTCTATATCCGGTCGTTAATATCATTTAGTGATAACAAATAATCAAGTCGTTATTCTTACTTACAACGACCAACATTCCTTTCGTTGAAGATCATTTGTCGTTAAAAGCTTGATATAAAACAAAAATCTAGTAGTTATAAGTACTTTTAGCGAACAAAAATCTTATTACAATACTTTGAACGACCAAGTTCTCTTTGCAAATTTGATTGAAATAATTACATATATAATTTTTTTTTATTTCAAGTTCCGTCATTTATAGTATCATTTCATTTTCTTTTCACATGCAATTGAAAATTCTACATGAAATTTTATTGATAACAAAGAACTAAAACATCACATTAATTTAGTGGAAAAATGCATAAAATCTCCCTCAAACTTGTCCACAAAATTCTCTTTAGCACTGTAATTCTATAGGTGTTTAAGCGCATTTAAAGAACTTTCAAGTGAATTAAATAACACCTTATACATACAATACCAATTTCGTGGTTTGGAGGTGATGTACACTCACTCCACATCAGCACCACCTCAGTGACACGTTGACAACACGTCATATGGTGAATAAAATTAGTTTTCATTTCTTTTTTTCTTTTTCCATGTCATTTTTTGTTTTTAGTTTTCATTTTTTTTCTTTCCCCATATATTTTGTTCTCTTTTTTACGTATACTCATTTTCTTCTTCATTCCATCTTTTCCCTTACAAGCCTAGGATTGAAAACTAACACACACAATATATTTCTAATGATTTGATAAATATTGTGTGTCAACAGAGAAACAGAGGATATATATAGTAACATCATTGAAGCTGGAGTTGTCAACGACAATTGTCGGCACTGCTTCAATGATTATTGTTGGTCATCTTTGTTATATTAGGGTCTACTTTATAGATCTAAACAATTTCAGACTGTTTATCGTGGTTGATGGAAAAATAAGAACATATTAAAAGAAAAAAATAGGAAAAATGGAAGAAAGCCGAGAAAACGAGTATGGCTGGCGTTTTGTCCAGATCGCCAGCGAAACGAATATATTATTACGAGATCGGATAATTCCATGGAATCTAGTCTCTTATGGAGCATCTGATGAATGGGAAATAAAGAGTGGTAGTGACGTCCTTTAAAATTGAGCAATATTGAATTTATTGGCCCGTTTTGCCATCAAGATTTTTTTCCGTCGAGGAAATATAGGCAGAAGACAATTTGATAGAGAATCATATGAGCAGGGAGCAATTGAAGAAGACAACGTGGGACCACTTCTTTTTCTTTTTGATTTTTTTCTCTTAACACGCACCAAAAACTTTTTAAGTAGCCACACGTCAGCCGCTAGGGTGAAATTTAATTCACTTGCAAGTAGTTTAAGATGTATTTAAATACACGTAAAATTATAGAGCTAAAGTGAGCTTTAGTGACAAGTTTGAGGGGAATTTTATTTATTTTCTCTAATTTAATTAATGAAAACCTTCTATGTTTGACACAATATCTAATTAAAAACACGTGTTCAACATAGTACATAAAAATATACATGCTTGACATAATATCGTAGATGATACAAGATATCTATCAAATCCTAAAAACTGAGAAAATCAAATTGTAACTTAAGTACAAATAACATCTTACACCAACAAAAAAAAGAAAATATAATATTCTCTTTAGTCTGCTCCACAAATATTCAACATCATATTCTCTGATCTTTAATTTTTTTCATGTGATAAAGAACAATTTCAGGTTGATTAGTAACAGAATATCAAAAAGATAATATCTTAGTTCTAAAATATAAGTCAATAATTCAATAACAAAAGTAGAAGCATTCTGTAAAAGTTATGCATGATCAGGCACCAATTCGACTATTTAGAAAGCACTAACACCACGAGAAAGAATATGTACTCCTGAATCTGATGGAGACTGAAATTATCAATTTGCAATGATGAAACAGAGAAACTATAGCAAAGACTCATTAGTACATATAAAGTTGATTCAAATGTGGATCTATGCATTTTACATCAAAGGTCAGACCATTCGAACTATGTAAAACAAGCTCACTCGATAACTGGAAAGTTACTGGAAGATAAACAAAATTGAGAAACAACTCAAACCACAGTGGAGAACGACAAGCTTGATTAAACAAATCTACCTAAAGATGTTCGGGTACAGAGAAAGGGTAATGTTAAAGTGTGTGATGCTTGGAAATGAAGCAATTACTAAAGCTATTTTTACTATGTGTCTCCAAATGCGAGGCAATATCCTCACTAAATATAGATCGGTAATGTGGGAAATGAACATTAGTCAACCTGTATCTTCACTGCAACTTCACCAAAACAATCTTGAGGTTCATACATAGGAATGACTTGTAACATAAGGGACAATTCGAAAAGATACTTTAAATGGGTGGTAAAGAATGAAAATGTAACTCCACAGGCTCAAATATGTTAAAACATTCATAATGTATGAAAATAACAAAAGCAGAAAGTATTTGAAAAGAAGACAAAAAAAACCCAGACATGATTGTTAGAAGTATTTCCTATATTTGTAATATTCGTGATACTCCTCGAACTAGATCTATAATGGAAATGTTGTTAATGTAATCATTTGATTATTATAGATCAGAAAAAAGCCTAATCAGGGGAGTAGAAAGGGGTATGAAATGAACTTTTTACTTTAGGCACATCTAATTGAGGAAGTTATCTTGCTTTATAATTCTCATTCAGGTGATACAAAATAAAAAAAAAGCATCTTTAACAATTGAAAGATAAAAGAAACTTATTTGTTGAACTTATGCTCCAAAACTACATAATATTGTATATTTCTTGGTTTGACACTGCCCCTTTTCCCTGTTAGATAGATACAAAGTTAAGGTGTTGAGAACTGTATGGTGGAAGAGGAAAAGAAAGACAACAAAAATTGATATTGAAGTTATAAAGTTATGTCTATGGCAAAGAGTGATGGTTCAATCATCTAACTCTTCTCTGATACATTTTGTGATATAATGATTTTTATTCAATGAAAATTATATGTCATTATTCCTATGACTTCTATTAGATTTTCATAAGTGAGAACCTTGTATATTGTGTTTATTGCATGTTTACCGGACATAATTATGTAATCACATGCCTTGTTGAGAAGATGCAGAATAACAATATACAGAGAAGGAGGAGGGCCTTGATTTTGCTAAAAGTGAGCAGTTATATTACAAAAGACAAGGACCTAATTGGAGGAGATCTTGATTTCATACCAACAAATATACACAGAAAAAAAAATCTAATTAAAGACCCAATTACATATGAAAATGTACAACAATCCGAGTAAAGTATACTGAAATGGCCACAAGATCAAAGTCCGATGGACATAGCAGATCAATTTGTTATTCCAAGACTAGAAGACAGTAAGAGATTTAACAGCCAACAATAAAGATTTAATACCCAACACTAAATTTCAGACTCCATACTAAAATAATAGCCAATATATTTCAGTATCAGTTATCATACTTTGCTAGAATTCACTTTAGTTACTATCCAAACCTAGATGGTTTTAGTTTTGTGGCAACACAAATATTAAAAAATATATCTAAGATCCAACAACTCAAACAATAGTAGGAGTTAAAGCATAGGGAGCTAATCAAAAGCAAAACAGGGCTACAAAAGCTCAGATCCAATGAAATCTACAAGGGAACCTACATCATTTACATGAGCGTAACTAGTCCAACAAAAAAGCAGTAACATTCATATACTCTTGAGAATTGAGATAGGAGGTGAAATTTCATGAAAACGTTTGATATATTCTTTTCTATGTAAACACAAAAAATATAGCTAGGGCTCATATTTTCCAGATATTCTTGATGAGTTAGTCGATTCTCCAAGAATTTCAGCTTTAAAGTGATTCATTAGTTCACTACAGTATGGATAAAGTTCATCCCAAAAATTATTAGGAGAGTTAATCATGTGATGGAGTTTCTATACTCCTTTATATTATTTTTAGTTGTTTGAAAATTTAGTTAACAACTCAAAATATATAGGCGCCAAATATATATAGTAAGGTGTTAGAGATATTCGTTTGGCACTATAGTTTTTCTTGATCTTGTCACTTATTAACATGACCTATCCCTGCAAGTCCAAAAACAAGTAATTTTATAAGCTTGTTGTTTCATTCATCATGAAAATTAGTACACTAAAGACTCTCTTAACATTTACTCAAATTAACATAGAAAAATAGACCAATCATAGCACTGTTGTAGTAGAAAAACCCTTTCCAAAAGGAGAATTTGTAAACGACATCACTGAATTTGTTGACAAGTAAACATCATGTAATAGA